AAAGGAGTTCTGGCGGTTGGCTCATGAGCCAGTCAATATTTTTGCGAATCCGGGCTGGTTCGCGAGCTAGAAAAAATAATTATTTTTTTAAAATTTTAATTTTTTATATATACAATTATATTTTTATTATATATTTAGTTTATTTTATTTAAAATATTAAATTTTTTATTACATTTTAAATCTTTTTAAAATATTTTAAAATATTAAAATTATTTTAAAATATTTTTAAATATTAAAATTATTTTTAAATATTTTTTAGTATTAAAATTGTATTTTAAATATTTTTTAGTATTAAAATTATGTTTTAAAAAATTATATATTTAGCTCGCGGGCCGGCTCGTTTGGCTCGCGGGCTCGGACAATCTGGGCTGGGCTGACCTATTTTTAGCTCGCTAAAAAACGGACTGGGTTGGGCTGAGCTGAAAATTTTCTAGATCGTGACGATTCGGGTTGGGCTGGGCCGGGCCAGCCCGATTTACACCCTACTTTTCCTTGCCATTGCGAGTTCTTTTTATAGTCTTATAAAAAAAATACCATATATAGTGATTGATGATATGAATTATATTTTGTGGTAGAAAGCATTCAAAAAAATTATATTTTCAAGATTACAAAAAGTTTTCCCCCCCAAAAAAAAAGCAAATAACTTATTGAAATCGATCGAAAGCATGTTTTACGCGCACAAATTCTAAACTTTATAATGCATGGCCATTTTTTAGAACTAACCAGCATCGATTAAGAAAAAACTATAATAAATATATAGTCCAACATACCAATCAATGATTATTGATTGACTGCATGCATTTATTACGATGTAAAAAATAAATCATGTCCATATAAACACGTGCATAGGCGACTCGCTACGTATATACAAAACAAACATTTAATAATATACCCAATAGATAAAACTTCTTTCTAATCCATATTTGAGTTTCACTTGAGGTAATTTAAATGAGAAATATAGTTTTTTTTTATAATATGTGATTTGACCATTACGCTCACGAGCAGAATCTTAGCTTGAGCTCATACGGCTCCTCTAGGGATGGAGGGTGGAGTTCGAAATTGGATGGATCACTCTTTGTGTATTCTTACTTAATGGTTGAATGAGTCATTCCTGACAAATGAGAAATATAGTTGGGACGAAGATATGATAAATTTTTATATTATTAAGAAAACATTTAATAATATCAATCTTCCATTTTATTAGCACTAAATTGAACTTCTTTTTAATACGTTAGGCCTAGTAGATATTAATTAAGATCGCTCTGCATTTGTTGATTCTCCCTTTAGTAATAATTGTTAATAGAATATGGTTTGTACTAAGTTTTGCAACATTTCCAGTGTGTTTTATTACATATGAGAATACTATATATGATAAAAATATGTGTCGTAATATAATTATTGATATATATATATATATATATATATATATAGCTTCTTTCTCAGATATGTGCGTGGATGTGTCATGTGTGAGTGAATTAAAATTTACGGAGAGATATAATAGTAAGATGAAAGAGACAAAAAATTATTACTTGAAAATATCTATTAACGTGCGACATTGATATAAAAGAGATGTTTCAGAAAAGTCTTTCTCTGATGTGTATTTCATATGCTCGAACATCTATTTATGTACAAAACGTAACAACCAACTCTAGCTAAAATAGGAAGAGATAGCGTCAAATCTAAACGTATATACAACTGAATATGTCAATATATATCTGGAGATATATATTGCCAATACCCCCCCTCAAGTTGGTAAGTGCAAATGTTGCACACCCAACTTGTCAAGAAACCAAGCAAACTCCTTCTTGCCCAATGCTTTGGTGAAGATATCGGCGAGTTGGTCACGTGTCGAGACATGTTTGGTGACGATGTGTCCATGAGCAAGATGATAACGGATGTAGTGGCAATCGACCTCGATATGCTTAGTACGTTCATGGTACACGTCGTTATGAGCGATATGCAAAGCGGCCTGGCTGTCGCAGAACAACATCATTGGCGAGGAATGATCGACACCGAAGCTGGATAACAAGCTCTTGATCCACAGCAACTCACATGTAGTGACGCGCATTGCCCGGTACTCGGATTCGGCCGAGGACAGCGAGGGAATAGATTGTTTCTTGGTTTTCCATGAGACGGGCGATGTACCGAGCTGAATGAACCAACCGCTAACTGATCGACGAGTAACGGGACAACCAGCGTAGTCGGCATCGCACCACCCATGCAAGCGTAAATCGGAATCTGCGGGAAAAAGGAGTCCCTGGCCGGGATCCGACTTTAAGTATCGAATGACATGGATCGCCGCCGCCCAATGATCCTGCCGAGGATCATTGGCGAGGAATGATCGACACCGAAGCTGGATAACAAGCTCTTGATCCACAGCAACTCACATGTAGTGACGCGCATTGCCCGGTACTCGGATTCGGCCGAGGACAGCGAGGGAATAAATTGTTTCTTGGTTTTCCATGAGACGGGCGATGTACCGAGCTGAATGAACCAACCGCTAACTGAACGACGAGTAACGGGACAACCAGCGTAGTCGGCATCGCACCACCCATGCAAGCGTAAATCGGAATCTGCGGGAAAAAGGAGTCCCTGGCCGGGATCCGACTTTAAGTATCGAATGACATGGATCGCCGCCGCCCAATGATCCTGCCGAGGGTTCTGCATGAATTGTGAAAGGACATGGACAGAATAACAAAGTTCGGGGCGAGTGACGGTGAGATATATGAGTCGGCCCACCAGTCTTCGGTAACTACTCGGGTCAGCAAGGAGTGGACTATCGGACAGTGAAAGGCGCTGGTTCTGATCCATCGGAAACCCCGCCGGCTTGCACCCGAGCATGCCCGCTTCTGAGATGATGTCAAGGGCATATTTCCTTTGACTCACATGTATCCCGGTGGAATTTCTAGCCACCTCCAAACCCAGGAAAAATTTAAGAGGTCCTAAGTCCTTCATGTGAAAGCATGAGCACAAGTATTCTTTGAACGCGTGAAGGGCTGTTGACGAATTTCCAGAGATAATCAAATCGTCCACGTAAACAAGGACACATAGCTGGGTTGATCCGGCGCGAAAAGTGAAAAGAGAATGATCGGATTGAGACTGGACAAAGCCATATGTCAACAAGGACGAGCTCAACTTCTCGAACCAACACCGAGGGGCTTGACGAAGACCGTAAAGTGATTTGCGAAGCCTACATACACCATCGGAGCCCTGAGATTCAAAACCCGGAGGAAGTCGCATGTACACCTCTTCGCGTAAGTC